GCCCAGAGGGAAACGACCCACGCCCTCCTCCTGGCCTGCAGACCCCTCCCTATGCCCTTGCTGACTCCACCCGGGCACCGTGCCCGCCTCCTGGCTGAGGCCAAGCGCACCCTGGAGCGCGTGGGAGACCGACGCTCCCTCCAGGACTGTCAGCAGATTCTGTTGCGCCTCAGTGGAGGCACCACCATAGCAGCCTCCTAAACAAACAAACAGACACACACACACACACACACACACTCAGAGTGCAGGAACAAACACACACCCAAATTAGGGCTACTTTTAAACACACACTGTACACATTTAGATGCTCAAAATATCAAACTCTTTAGTCCTTTATTTTACATTTGCACCTACAGTGAGTCTCTGCTTTCAGTCCACGCTGACGCTGACAAATGAAGGCTTCACCTTTTGCTCTTTGACAGCTCAGTTTTGCACGGTTGCTGCACAATCACGCCACCCTCTGGACATGTGATGCCTAGCAGTCTTGCTACATTATTACAAAAAAAAATTGAAAGACAAAAAAAAACAAGGTTAATGAAACCCTCATAAAATAGACGCTGGAGAACTGGATCGATTCGGTTCAGAGTACCACGCAGTACAATCTTTACTGTAACACAGGAACGGAACAGCGTCCTGTGAGACACCCCAGCTCAAAATCAAAGCCTCTTGAAACATGCAGGAAAAAAGGACCGTGGATTCCCAGCTGCACAGTGCAGAGCAGTGTCTCTTATCTACCTCATGAACTGTACAACGTCAGCGTTGTACCACAGGGCGCTTAACGCACTGAGGCGGTCACCACGGAGTCAAATCAGGTTAAATCATTCACAGCAGTCCTTCTGCTGGGACCTTGAGGACACAGCGGTGTGACTACTGGAATATAAACTGAGAATGAATGAATGAATAGAAGTAGCAAAATGTGCAACTACAGTTAGAGTTAATATCCTTGTTGTCACACAACATGGCATGAATTAAAAAAAAAAAAAGAAGAGACACTGAGGTACAAATAGGAAAAATAAACTGAAATCATGTCCCTAGAAATCCACATATAGTACAGGTCAAATGTCTTAGAACATGCTAGAACTTCATGTCTTTTTTTGTCACCCACTTTCTTTGTGTTTCTCAGATGCAAACGTTTCGTTACATCATTTAAGATGTTGATGAATCAGCGTCACGTTACACTTCATCACCGCATCAGCTCGTCTCCAGTCACATCACCGCAGCGTAGGCGAAAACACACGCTATCTTTTCAGGGTTCACTATATTTTATTCAGTGATAATATATAATTATAATATTATTGCACCACAGTTCTTTAAACTTCACTGGTCAGACCTGTACGCTCTAACAAACAGCAGGGTTTTCTAAAGCTTTTCACCAGTTGTTCACAAAACAGATTTTTTTTTCTCTCACACGGTGGGATTGTAAATACTTTGTATATAAGTAGGAAAAGTTTTATGTATCGCTTGAGGAGGTGAAAAAACATGCAAAGGAAACTAGTTCAATCTGTCGCTCCACTGTAATTTTTATGAATGTAAGGTTTTGGCCGATGTAAGAGTTCATCATTTGATATATGATATGATATGAAGGTGGTCTAAACATGAGGAACTTTCTTGGACGTGTAACGTAAAGCAAAATGGCCTTGATGTTGTGTAAAGATATATGTTTGTAGCTTTTATTATTCCTTTATTTCGCTGTCCTCTGTTCAGCCATTCCCTTTTAAATATCTGTGTTCACATTATTCTATTTAATGTGAAGTTTTATTTTAGTTTTTGTCACAAAGGGAGATTTTCTTTTTGTTTTTCTTCTTTGTTTTCCAGAGGTTCCTAAACTGTCACAGCGAAAGTCCTTGAGGGGCAGAAATCCTGTTTAGTTGAAAACAAAACGAATCTGGATGTTACTATTTCTACACCTCGTCTTCCTTTGACATGCATTGTTTTTGTCATTTATAGTATGGTAATAAGGTTAATTGGAGAATTTAGACTGACTGCAAATGGGACCATAAGTGACAGTGGTCTCTATGTGGGCCACCATGATGGACTGGGCCTGTCCAGGATGTAGCCCTTGTTTTTAACCTGTTTCAGGTCCCTGAAGGAGGAAGAGAAGACAGAAGGTGTAAAATAACAACAAGGACAAATATTTGTGTTTATTTTTTCTTCTGCAATTCTGTTTTCCAGGTCAACGCAGCTGTTAGAAAGTAACATAAAGAAAGTCTTAACTTGTATGACACCAAGGAAGAGGAAATTAAGGCCATTTATAGGCTGAAGCTTTTACTCTCATGTTTGTTTTGTTTGTTTGTGATTTATTTTTTTGTCTGGAATTCTGTGTTAATTTTGATGTTTATTTTATAATAATAAAAGACATGATAGTACGTGGTCGTTGTGGTTTTTCTGGAGTAGATGGCTGTCCTCTATATTGGTATTTTGCTGAATAAGTGTGAAATGTAGGGCAGAAAAAAAGAGAACTGCAGTATGATCTGAAAATGTGTGTGTGTGTGTGTGCACCTGGGATTAACGGCTGCTTTGTGGTTTTAAACTTAGTGGTTTCCTGTTTCACACTGTGTGAAAAACATGGGGCAGTGGCGAAAAAAACAAAACAAAACAAAAAACACTCCCAGAACAAAACCTACAGAGGTGACTCGGATACAGGATCAGTACTACAGGAGGGAGGGGCGGAGTCATGGATGACACTGGTTTACAACAGTATGTAAAAGAGGGCAATTAAATAAAATAAGTTAAATACAAGAATCATGATGGAATTAATTTATAATTTACAAGACTTTTAAGAGAAATATGTTATCCCTGGTGGGTCAACATGGTCTACAGAGAATAATATTAATAATATTAAAATAATACTAGTCTTCTGAGTTCCGTGTTATATGTAACTACAAAATAAAATTTGATTTAGCCGACGTTTGTTTCTCAAAGCGGACAAAAATATCGCCTCACTCCCAAAACGAAACTAAATTTAATTGTATATTTTCTATTAAAGCTATAATGTTCGTAAAATGACAATGACAAATTGTTTCCAAAGTAAATACTTTTAAAGATAGTTTTAACAGTATGTGTGGTTTGTAAAATGTCAATGACAAATTGTTTCCAAATTGTTTTAAAGATAGTTTTAACAGTATGTGTTCGTAGTCGGACAGTTGTTGCCGATGCACTCCACGTCAGAGAAGCCGGAAGTAGTGCAGAGTGAACTACACTCACGTGTACATCATGAAAAACAACAAAAAACACAACAATGGACCTAAGAAGGCTAAATTCAAACCGGGCTCGAAGAAAAGAGAAAACAAATGCATCGTGACGTTTAACGACAACGACAGAGAGTGAGTAGATTTGGAGACGTAACTTATTTAAGCACAAATTAGCTCCATAGCTTTAGCACATTAGTACAGCAGTCTGTGTTGTTGTTTTTACGAGTCACTCAATTTAATGAAAATTATCTTGTGTATTTGCTCAGTAACTTTAAAATAAATGTTTTCCAACCGAACTAAACTGGATTTTACTTCCAAACTCTGTTCGGTTTTGTCTGAAGTTGAATTACTTTCTCCTCATATCAGGGAATATCTCACTGGTTTCCACAAGAGAAAGGTGCAAAGGAGGAAAGTGGCGCTGGCAGAAATTCGCAAAAAGATAAAGGATGAGCAGATTAAAGTCAGAGAAGAGGTAAACGGGAAATAACAGTGTGAAAGTCTAAAGTCTGACTTGTGTGTCTGTCAGATGTCTGTTATTTCACATGTGTCTGTTCTCTTCCAGAGGCATAAGGAGTATGTGAAGATGCTGAAGGAGAGGACAGAAGCTCTCAGTGAGATGAAACTCATTCGTTGACGTTTTCGAGAACCTTCAGTAAAATTACTTTATTTTTTAAAACTATCGTGACTGTGTTTTCTCAGACGAATCTGAGGACGAGCTGGACGACGTGATAATCAGCACGTCAGAGTCCATGCAGTATGATCACCCCAACCACACGGTTACCGTGACGACCATCAGTGATCTTGACCTCAGTGCCACACATCTACTTGATTCTGCAGCAAATCAGGTAATGTGACAAACTGGTTTTAATGCTAGTCCAGTCAGACTATATAATAGAATAAAGAATTCGACCTGTTCAGTTACAAACCAAACACAAACTGAGAATCTTTCATTTGAAGGACAAAGGACCGAGTGAAGAGCAGGGGGAAGAGGAGAAGGAGAAAACTGCTGCCATGCCGCGAAAGGCCGGGACCCCAGTCATGAACAATAAGTAAGAGCAGATGATACAGGAGTTGAATTGTATTTACAGTCGTAGATGGTTTAAACGTTTATGAACGTTTTAAAATAATTTTAGAACAGGTTATATTTATCTACAGATGTTTTCCTTCCTCTCACTCCAGCTTTGTTTATCTTGTCTCCCTCTCTCGCTCTCTCGCTCCCTCTCTCCCCCTCCCTCGCTCTCCCACTGTGCCAGGATCCGCTCTTTAATGTCATCGCTCAACAGATACACCACCAAGAGGAAGAGGAAAGGGAAGCAGGAAGGTCGAAGAGGACACGGCAGCCGGACAGACGGCAAACATTCCGGCGCAGAATTGAAAAAGAAGAAAGGGACGAGCGGCATGTTTGAGAGACGCCGTCGGACTGGACAGAGGGAGCGTCAGCAAGACTGAGAGTGTGTGTGAAAATGAACTGAAGTTTAAAGATGGACTCTGTGCAGCAGGACGTGTTGGTCCCTGTGGAGACAGCTCACTCGTCTACGACTGTTTTAGAAAATGAACTGTATTGAATTTACTGACGTTTTGTTTAAAATAAAATCTTTTTTTTTTCTTTTCTTGCTGATGCGTGTTCTAATCATTCATTACAAATGTCGGCGCCGTCTTTGCTCTGATGAATCATAGGAAACTTCAGGCTCTGGTCAACTTCCTCTCTGCAGCTGAAGGAAATCGACCCTCAGCTCGGCCTTTCCTCCCAGCTCTCGTACCTGTGGATGATCAGACGGAGAATGTAGTGAACACTGTGTCCATGAAACCACACAAACAGACTCTGCTCTAACGTATGTCCACCCCCCAGACCCTCCACCCCCCCACACACACAGCCATGTTTATTTATTTACGTTAACCTGAGCCAGCGTATGCCAGCTGTCACTAGCTTCAGCGTTTCATTTTCGCTTTCTACAGGCCATGATATTTAATACAACCCCCTCAACTGGAGGAGCAGCAGGTCACAGGCTCCATGTTGGCTCCGGCTCCTGCGTCGGCTCAGGCTTCAGCGCCCGCTGATCTGAGAGCCAATATGGCCGCCTGCGGGCTCCAGTTTCGCTCATTGTTAAAGCAGCCAATGGGATTGATTTGAGAGTTTGGCAACTGGAGAGGACAGAGAAGATGGTGAAGAGGAGGCATGTGTCTGCTGAGGGTCTGATGGAGCGGCCGGTCCTGGGTCTCAGGCTGTAAACTGAGGTGAATGAAGCGCTTTCATTTTTCAGGTAATATTCCACTTTTCTGTCCTAAAATTGGAGTCATGAAATTCATTTCTGTTTTCACTCCTCTCTGCAGACTCTTCTCTCCTTTTCACTGGTAACTCATCTCGCACGCAGGTCGTGGTTGGTTGTAATACTTCTGTGTGGGAAGTGTTGACTGGATTGTGTTTCACAGTCTGCTGCTGTGAGTACTTATCACTTACTATTGTCCTTAAACACAGATCCGCTTTAGATCTCGCACGGACCCTGAAATGAAAGAACCTCTGTGGTGTCGACCGTGAGCCGCTGCTCTGTGCTCACAGCCGCACGCAACAGCAATTAGGAATAAAGTTTTACACATTGAAAAGGCAACGATGTGACATCATGATGCTCTGGGTGTTCCAGGTTGTAGAAATGACCTGTTGTTGTTCAGTGTCTGCTGTTAGAAATGAGAACGTGGAAGAAAAAAAACTGCAGTTTTTCTGTGTACTGTTGTTGACTGTGTTTAATGGTCAACCTCTTCAGTAAACGCGACCTCTCGACCTTTTCTCTGCAGAATGCCATGACTGAGGGCGTCAACCTAACATGCCCTTCTCCGTAGATGAACCCATCTGCCCCAAATTTCAGCCCAACATCTTTGACCCTCTGCGCTGCCATGACTGCCTGCGCCAGCGCCACCTGCACTCCGGCTCGGGAGAGACCCCCGAGGGGTCAGAACGGGGGCAGAAACCCTCGACCGACACGTTTGAGAAAATGCGTTTCGCCGACACTGGAGGTGGGAGTGTGAAAGATAAACGTGTAGCCTTGACAACCGTCTCATCCCAGGGCGAGGAAAAGGACACCAGCAGTAGGGTAAGAAAGAGGAGACAGCAGACAGGAAGTGTGCAGCAGAGCAGCTGGGTGACGGGGGCGGAGGGGCGGGGGTGTAGGCTGTGGACCTGGTGATGGGATCACTGTCATATGAAGACAGCGTCAGGTTCCCAATAAAATCCATAGAAGGTAAAAACTACAGTGGTGTAATTTAACTTTTACAGACTCAACAGTCAGTGCTTAGGATTTTGGAACCCAAAATTTTTGATGCTATTGTACATAAAATTATCATCATATCATATTATATTATGTCAGTATTGAAATTATATTAGGAACCCATCTTAATCATGGCCCAGAGTTCAGTAAATGTGTTATAATAAAATTATAAAATTAAAGCACCTGATTGGATGATTTTGTCAGTAGAGTTACGGAGGCTCACAGACTGAGACGTGTCAGTGATGAGGAGTGGTTATTTATAAATTCATGAAGCGGGATCGTTGACTGTCCTCCTGGAGTAAATACGTCCGTGTGTTTCTGACACCTTTACATTCTACAGTCGAACTCTGTTTCCATCACATTCCTGCAGTTGCTGTAAACCAAAATTTTGAATTTTTTTTTTTTCTAAAGTTGTTCAGATCAGCGTCCGTCACAGGTAGATTTGAACACAGACACACGGTCATTTATATGTTGGGGACAAATATATCCCAGCATTTGTGTTTATGGTCAGTCGAAAAATGTTGAAACTTTAATGAGGAAAGCCAGGAGTCAGGTTGAGTTACAGGGATGAAACTCTAATCGAACGTGTGAGTGTGTCAGAGAGCACACGGCGACGAGCACCGCAGGAGATCAGGCAGGAAGTGGGACTGTGACTCCTGCGGAACAACAGTCGGGAACGCTGTACTTTTAGCCTCTGTGTGTGGTTGTTTTTTTTTCAGCATTTGTTTTTTTTAATGTCATCAATTTGAGCGTCTCCTTGTTCGGAGGTGAGGTGTGTTTAGAGGCAGATAGAGTGTTCTAACCCTAACGTGATTGGCCCGTATCCTAATGTGTCACCCTATCAGGAGGACTCTGACTGTGCGTCAGTGGTGAGCAGCTACTGCCATGTCAGTGGAGGTCGTCCAGGTTATGGGGAGAGTTCTCTGTGCATCCTGAGCCCGGACTGTGCGCTGTACATCTGCGACGGTGACGACGACGACAGCACCGACAGGTGCTGACCTCGGTGACATCACTTCTTTTCTCCATCTCGGCGCCAGGTCTTTCCAATTTTGCACGTTTTCCTCATGTTGTCATTTCTCTTCGTCCTGACCGTGAAGCTGCCGTGATCAGAGCGACTACCAGGAGTTCAGCGGCTCAGTGAGTGGAGAGGAGGAGTACCTGCCCGTACGCCGCCGCCGCCGCCATTCGTCCCAATTCGGCATGACCCGGCTTGACCCGCCACCTCACCGACCCAACCCTCGGGCTTGGATGGACGAAGCTCGCAACAGGGACGGCTTCAGCGGGCGAACAGGTCAATGTTAGCTGTCGTTTGTCCAAAGTCCCAGAGTCTGTCTGACTGAGACATAAAACTGCAGTTTCTGTGCAGTATTACTGCAGTTTTCAGAGCTGTACACCGAGCCGTCACTCAACTTATGACCACTTCATATCCAGTTACAGCCAGAGGTGTTCTTTACTAGCTAGCACTGTTTGATGTCATCAGCGCAGGTGTCTGTGAGCAGTTAACAGTAACACAATATAAGTCAGCGTGTGTGTGTCAGGAAACCTCGGGTCGTGGCCCAGTGGTTGACCTCTGATGTGTGTATCTCTTGTTTCTATTTCTGTCACGCTGCCTGACACCAGGTATGAAGGACGACAGAGAGAAGCGTGAAAGCGGCTACTTCTCCTTGGGGAGGGCAGCGGGTTCCCGCTCGCTCCGTGACAACAGTCCTCCTGCTCCTTTTCGTCATTACGAGAAGGGTCATCCCATCTTCGGTAGCAGAAACGTTGAGCCCAAAGACACCGTCCCCTTCAGAAACCCTAACCTCGGCGTGGCCTCCGAGCGGCTGATACCCGAGCACTTAGACGAGGATGTTCCTGTGGAAATCCCACCTCCTGACCCCTACGAAATTGCAGTGGAGGTTGAAGCTCAGGTCGGTCCTCGCACTCCCAGTCCGACTCCTTTTAAGATAGCAGAGTCTCTGGCTGCCACGGGTCGGAGGGGCTTCAGTGCCTCACCTAACCGGGGGAACACTTCATCTCAAGTTTCCTCGCTTCAAAAATCAGGACGACTTGATTCATCGAAGCTCGGCTCAGCCTTCCAATCTCGCTCTTCTTCTCCAGCGCGTGGGAATTCGCCATTCAGGCGGAGCGAGTCCTCTACCTCCCTCAACAAGACCAGCTTCAGTGGTGGGGCCCGGTCTCATGGAGCAGAGCTAGGATCCAGAAGCTCCCTGCAAAGCACGCAAACCCGACACTTTGAGTCAGGAACGCTGCCCAGGAACTTCAAATCCCTTGCTGGTTCTGTTAAATCCCAGTCCAGCACGGTTTCCGATTTCAGGAGCGCTTTGAGAAAAAAAGAGGTGAATGGGTCTTCCAGTTTCCAGGGTCATGACAGCAGGAGCTCGTCTCCGTCCAGGAGGGACTACAGCGCCCCACGTCCAGTGACGGCCCGCAAAACGGAGAGCAGCAGCTCACAACTCGCTCGTGGACGAGGGAGTCGGACCGGTTCTCCGTCAGGTAGAGCTGAGAGGAGAAGTGAGAGCCCGTCACCACCGAGGAGAACCTACAGCTCCTCCCAATCCCTGCGCTACAGATCTGAGTCACTCACATCCAGACACACTCACTACGGACGCTGTGGCTCCCCCATAAGGGAGGGCTACGACTTCGAGAGTCAGGCCTTGATGCGAAATTCACGGCTGAGAAATACGCAGGACGATGAGGAAGACGTACCTGAGAGCCCCGCCCTGTCTCCGCCCAGACGAGGTCGTGACACTCAAAGTCAGTCCATACTTCGCAAGACGGAATCGAACCCTGTTGGTAGCGGCCGAGGTTGCAACAGCCGTAGTTCTTCTCCAGGGAAAAGGGGCTTTGAACCCAGCAGTCAGTACCAGCTGAGGAAAACAGATACGACTGGTTCTACCAACAGCCGCGGCCGTGAAAGTCGTAACCCGTCACCTTCCAGGAGAGGTCATGAAGCGCCCCCTCAGGCCGTGCTGCGCAGCAGAGCCGAGGGAGGCCGCTCTGCGACAGGTCGTGGCGATCAAAGTCTTTCACCGTCACGGAAAAGCGTGGAGGTTTCTGATCAGCGCTCAGTGTGGAAATCACAAACCAACGGCTCTCTGCACAGCAGGACGCACAGCAGTCGCAATTCCTCTCCCTCCAGGAAAGAGCCCAGCGACCCACCGGGGTACTCTGTCCTCAGGACTGCCACTAATGGAGAATCAGGTCGTTTCAAGCAGAGAAATAATATTAACAACGACTCCAAGTCTGACTCCAAACATTCCCCAAGTTCCTGGCGAGGATCTTCTACGTCCCTCCGCAGCTCGTCATTATCTCGCACGGCTTCGCCGACGAGGCAGTCACCGAACGGCGGCAGAACGACCTTTGTGACCTCAGACAAACCCAGGAGCTCCAGCAACGTCAGGTCAGGGTTTGGTAGACGTGACCCTGACGACAGAAGACCCGGGCAGCGACCACACAGTCCTTCACCTTCACCTCAAATCCACCTGCAGAAACTCACCTCCTCTCTGAGCTCCATGGAGTCCTCAGAGTCGGGCCGAGTGTCCGTGGGCTCCACGGGACGGAACAGGGACGAGTACGCAATGCTGGCGGACCTGCCAAAAGTCAAACGGATCCACGTGAGTGAGGAACCGATGGATGTGGGGCGACTTCAGAACCAGAAAACCCCCCGCAGACAGGAGCTCTTCAAACCTGCCAGGTCAGACGATCGTTGACGAAACGTTATCTCAGCGTCTTCCATATTTTGTTGCATAAGTTTGACCAAACACTCTGACCACTCGTCTTCTTGATGTCCCTTCAGCCACTCTTTGAGCCGACACCCGTCCAGAGAAACGTTGGACGCTGAAGATAAAGAGTGGCACTACGGCGGCAGTGGGTATCTGTCCAGAGCCCACTCCTCCACCTCGTTACAGGTGGGTCGACGGAGTGAGTTAGACATTAAAACATGTGGATGTTATCGATTAGATCCAGTGGTTTGTATTTTGACTAAATTGGTTCTGGTCCAGGTTCTACATTCAGTGAACCTGGAACTGAAGTCAGTTTAGAGTGATTCTACTGTTCAAAGTCACTGAGGGGAGTGAACACGTGATTCTACTGTTCAAAGTCACTGAGGCCTGTCAGTCAAACGCTCAAAATATAATTACACACGTTAGGCAACATGAACCAGTCTTTTATAAACAGTACTGTGTCACTCAAGTACTGTTTGTAGAGGTGATCAAGTACCGCCGTGTCCCTCCGTTTACTGTGTCCCTCCGTTTGGGTTGGACCAGTCAGGGACAGTTTTCCATCATATATTATAATTTTGGGTTGGACCGGTCGGGGACAGTTTTCCATCATATATTATAATATAATTATACTTCAGTCTTGATGGAATCACATGTTTTTTTTACCCATTAAATTACTACGAGTTCCTTCTGTGTCCAGCGCTCCTGCAGTCCCACTGCAGACGAAGGCAGTTCTTGGAGAGGTGGAGACCGTGGGTCAGAACAAATGCAGGTACGTGGTACGGATTTGTTCCTTTACTGCCACCATGTGATCACTTACTGTATAAATGTGCTCTTTATTTAATAATCTGCGGCGGACTGTTCTGTTTAAGCAGTGAGATCATGCAGCTGATCTTTTCCCTCTCAGTACAGATCTTTGAAGTCGGCGCCACAGCCCCTCCAGCTCACATGGTTTGATGCAGTTTTATTACGGCCGTTTCTATTTTCATACGCGCCGTCTTTCTGCTTCATATTTACCAGACCCACGCTGGCAGTTTGTCTGGTGTTGACACATCATTCTGTCCACAGTCGCAGAGCTTCTCCTGCTGGAATGTCCTGACACTGGATGGCTGGCCTTTTTTCTGACTTCTCTACGTGTCCTATGTGCATGTGTGTGTGTGTGTGTGCGTGTGTGTGAGTGAGTGTGTGAGAAGACAGAAACCTTCACCCTTCAGGCATTTCATAAGACTGACTTAGCTTTGTCGGCTGTGGTCTGCTGGGGCATGTGTTGAAATTCCTTCACTGAAACCAAGAGCTACTCAGAAAGGGTTTTGTAGGAGGGGGTGTCACTCTGTATGCAAGTCCAAAGATGTTAAATCCAGAAAATTTAACCAGTAAATTTATTTGATGTGTCGACAAAGAATGAGGTCAACTTTTCCACGTCTTTCTAAATTCTAACCAGGTCTTTATTTCATATTATCTTTGAAAATATAACACAGAAATATTTAATTTAAATTAATCAATTATTACTCCAAAATTTACAACTATAACTAAATGGACTGCTTTGGTCTAACTTTGGCAAAAAACGTGACAAAAAACGCACCCTAGCAGTGACAAAAAGTTTTTTTTTTACTCCAAAATGACATCAGTGACCAGTCCTACTTCCCACCAATGAGCTAGATTAAAACACATTTTTGATATATGACTAATGAGACCAGGGACCTATCATTCAGTCCCCCTGTACCAATGCAGATCCCGGGCCCCCCAGTTTTGTTGCGGCAGCTCCTTGTGTGCGTGTGTGTGTGTGTGTTGTTTTTTTTTTTTCTTATTCTTTTCTCAAACCGTCTTCGCGGATCCGCCCAGGAAGCAGCAGACAGGAGAGAGCGAAGTCACACGGAACGCTAGCTTCTACCCGCATGTGCCACAAAATTATAACAATCGTTCGTTTAATCGTCCATTAGCGCCGCCATGTTGGATCGGATTCAAGAACTTTCTTCCTAACGCAGGACGAAGTGGTGTTGACGGTCTGTTTGTGTCAGTTAACATGGATTTGAATGGCGGGGTTTTACTCTTGACAACAGTCCGAGTCTGAAACGCTCTCACCACACGACAAGCTGGCTGTAAAGTTTCACAAGAAGAAGATTTGTTTCCGTTTTTAATTTTGTGGTAACTGTTCTTTTCTTTTGTCTTTTTTTTTTAAAACAACTATCTGGATTCCGGTACCATGACGGTGAGTAACGCTGTTCCTTTAAGCTCTTTTGTTTTATCACCCACTTTCTGTCACTTCTTCCTGACTTTTTTTTTTAAAGAATCTAACAACAAATGTATTTTGAAAAGGGAATATAAGTTGTCGTTTATTTTTATTTTGCGGTTAAGTGACATTTCTACGTCTCATAGTTGACGTAGCTGTCATATATAATTATAACTATTACTGAATTTGACACTCGATACGACGCCATGTATAAATATTAGGACTGTCTGTTTAAAAGATCTCAAATCACAGTTGTGAATAAAAACCCACACAACAAAACAGTTGATTATATATTATATATTCCGAAAATCATATTACTTATAACATTCTCTATACATTTATACAGTTACTGTACAAATACTGTTCATATTCGTTATTTTCACTGTTGACAACACACGAGTGGAACATATTAATACGTATAAAATATTAACTTCTCCGTATTTTTATTGTTTTGTTTCTTTAGTTTTATTGACGTAACAAGTCCATTTGTAAGAAAACACTGTTAAACGTTTCATATATTGACGGTAAATGTGAAGATTTTGCAGCATTTAAGGGCAACGCTACTGTTTAAAGTGAACGTTAACATGTTTATATTTACTTGGCTTTAACTATCATTAAATTCATTAATTATATATATTCATCACAGACAGTGATGGTTTGTTACTATTCTCAGTTGTTATCAGTCCATTATTCTGTCTGGTTTAGTACATGTATTTCTCAGCACCAGTGATTTGTGGATGAATTACTGACAAGTAATCGACAATTTTTTTTCAATAAATTAATCATTTTGTTCACTTTTTTAAAAAAAAAATCCTTATCTTTAGAATCTAACAAATGTAATGTTATCAAAAATCTGATTTATTTTGTTTGTCTTTGAACTAGATTTTCAGCTTCAACATTATCTCAGTAGCTTTTGCATCTGTTCTGACTCTTCATTATCATATCATATCAGCTGATTTGATGCCACGGTTTTCTGTGTGAGCCTGACCTGAGAGACATCCTCATGATTATTTTAAACTAAAAATTTTAAACCACTCTTGAGTCATCCTGGGCTAATTTAAGACCTGTAAGGTCCTGTTTGTGACACCTCCAGAAAACCACAGTGCAGGTGTGGCCTAGTGTGATCTGTTGACCCTGCTGTGTTTACAGTAGCAGGAAGTGTTAAACACCAGTACCGTGTGACGGTTGCAACAGCCTGCTCTGATGTTTTGTGTTTGCACTGTGACATTTGCAAAAAGCAAAAAAAAAAACCCATAACATCAGAAATGGTTTCATGTTGCTGGGCGACCTAATCTATTTAACTAAACTGAAACAGAGGAAAAAGAGACACATACAAGCTGTAAAAGGACCACAGTGCCTGGCTGATCCCCCGGCAGACAATAGTCCTCTATGCTCATGGCTGACCGGAGTCAGAAAGAGTGGACGTTGTCACCACTCTTTGACCTTTCTTCTGTCTCTCAGAGACAGATCAGTGATCTGAGGGGACAAAACACGGAGAAAGAAACCTTACATAATACTTGTTCATAACGGCTGAGGTCCTTCGTTCTGTGTTGTCTCCCTTGACTCCATGTGTAGAATAGATAACGTCGATATATGAGGACAATCTAAGTCATGTGACCTGCACCAGCAGTACAATCCTGGAGTCAAATTTTTACTCATCTAATGTTTTTTTTTTTTTTGTAGTTAACTAATGAATGTCATAGTCATTTATAGCAGGGGTCTTCAAACCCTAGTCCGGGAGCCGGTGCCGGGCCACAGTGGGTCACAATTTTACTAATTTATCCCTTTAATTTTTCCATTAAAAAATAATCTGGCAAAGTTTCAAAACAACAATTCATTCAGACTCCGATACTAACAGAATAAAATACTTTTTATTTTGAAAGTGTAGTGATCGACCAGTCCTTGGTACAAAAAAGGTTGGAGACTGATTTATAGAAATATAAATCTCTTGCAGTAACACCAGGTGACCACTGTCAGTACTTCTGTGTTTCTACCCTATGCCTTTTTAATTCCTGTATGTCATCAGTAAAATATTCTTTGACCTTCATTCATGATGATTCATGATACATTTCATCAAAAACACAAAGTTGCCCAACTTTGTTTTTTTTTGGATGGACTATTGAGGCTCATCACAACTGAAAATCAGGAACGATGACCAGTACAGTATAATAGATAGACTGGATTATACTGGTGAAAACAGTGGGTGGTGCTGCTGTGGTTTAGGAGCACAAGTCCAGCCAGGACTGGGAATATGAATACACAGTTCAGACAAAGAGGGATTACAGTGAGCAATTCAAAGTAAGAAGGTGATGAAATGAACATAAAGCAGCTGAAGAAGATAGAACCAAAAAAAAAAAAATGATGGGAATGACACACCGCTAGGAAACAAGATGACGAAAGCAGCGAGCGATTTAAACACGAAGAATGTACATAGCGGTGAAGAGAGAGGGGAGATAAGCGGGGCCAGGAATTTATGTTGGGCAACGTTGGCTAATCTTAATCTGGGATCACCATGTCTTTAGGTACCTTGTGCATGTTTTCCCCTTCCTGTCATCAAGTGGGAAGCAAAGAGCAGGCCTGCTCCTGGAGCCAGGACATGTCCTAATATATCTTCTCCCACTGCACAGCTGCAGCCAGAGACATGAGTAATATTTCATAATATGCTCAGTTGAGTTATTAACACTGGAGAGACTGTGGACCCTGAGGTTCCCACTGAAAAATCTCTTCATATCTGCTTTCTAAAATTCTCCTCCCTTCACTGACGATGTGCTGCTTTTCATCTTCTAGTGTCGGCTCTCTGCAGATTATTTCACTTTGTGCAGAGACGGTTGGCTAAACTCACTTCCTGTCATTTTGACACCTTCTGCAACTACATTACAGCGGTCCCTGCAACTTCTCAAAAGATAGATCTTAGTTATATATTTTTTTTTTTTATCTGATATGCTGATATATTATTATAATTGACGTTTACATTGTTTGTTGACAAAAAACATCTGTATTGTAAGTACAACATGTAGTCAACACTTTACCAGTTTCAACTTGTTAGCAAAGCGAGTTTCTCCACAACACACACTGTTGTGTGTTTATGTGGCAACATTTGACACAGCAATGTGTGTGATGTCTTTGTGTTGAGGTGGAAATTGCCTGTTGTTTTTTTCGACAATTTCAAGTTTAATGTTGTTGTAAAATATTTATTCTACACCTCATGTGTGCTTGTTCAACATCAACATCTACTGTTCCTCAGTTACTGTCACTCTACCCAGTCCTTATTTCCTTTGAGAGTTGCTCATGACAGAAGTTGCTGTGATGGATACAGATAATGACCTAGATATTCACCAACAACACACTCCCTCTTGTATTGTATTCTTGTATTATTTCTGTCCCACATTCACATGAACGTCAGTAAAGGTGGTGCTTTATCCTGTCTCTGTCCGTCTGTGTCTCACAGCCTGACCTCCTGAACTTCAAAAAGGGATGGATGTCAAAACTGGACAACAGTGGAGAGGTGGAGTAGAGCTGAATTCATGCTTTTTATTTTATATTTTTTATTTTTACCTTGTTCCTAATAACATCAGCGGTTTTCATAGAAAATGCTTTGCTTTATACTCTTTTGTATTGATTCTTCATTCTTCTGTGTTGTTTAGTGGAAGAAGCACTGGTTCGTTTTGACTGACGCTGGTCTGAAGTACTACAGAGACTCAAACGCGGAAGAGGTTAATGTTTATTTATTTAATTTCTTTTTTTTTTTTTTACTTTTCAGTCGTCTTTTCAACATGCCCGTGTATGGCTTCATGAAAGGAGTGTTAAGAATGTGTCCTACTCTCCTGTGGGTTTTGAATGCTGTGATGTTTTGTTTTCCAGAAAGATGATATGGACGGAGAGATTGACCTGAAATCCTGTGTGAAGGTGTCAGAGTTTGATGTGGAGAAAAACTACGGCTTCCAGATACAGGTCAGCTGTTGGTGTGATCACACCCTGAATTCTTCTAAGTGTTTGATTTACTTATGTTTCATTATGTTACACACTCACACCACGTCACCTGTGTTGTCCAGACGAGGGAGGCGGTCTTCACGTTGTCTGCCATGACGGCCGGAATCAGACGGAACTGGATTGAAGTTCTGAAGAAGTGCATTCGGCCGAGTAGCTCTCCAGACCTAACTCAGTAATTACACTGCTGATTATTTCATATAATTAGTAAAGTAAAAATAATTCACAGGATTCATGTTTTTTCTTCTCTTGTGAAAGCTATTTTATTGTTTTAACATGTTTTATGCTTGCTAATCCTAATTTATAATCCCAGAGAACATATAGTTTTACTCTTTGGAAACGTGTCAGCCCTCAGTCAGGAATCAGACTTCAGTCCTAGAGTGATAGTATAAACAGTGTGTTTTCACAGTGACTTAGTCCAAGGATTAATCAACCTCAGTTGGCAAACATGCATTGATTTCTTCTTTAACTGGATTAACTTGTGTATCTCTAATCTCCTCCCAGATTACCTGACAGTGGCAGCGATAAAGAAAATTCCCACTCACGCTATCTGCTCTCTTCCCGCCCTTCGACATTGTCGCGCCACAATGACGTCCACTCGGAAACCCCGGCCTCCGTTCCCCCCACGCACCGCAGATTTGACTACGTAGAGCTGTCCCCCGTTCCCAAGTCGTCCACTCCTCTGCCAGCCAATCAGAGGGAAGCGGGAGAAGGGCAGGGGAGGGAACACACGCAGTGGCAGGAGGAGAGGAGCACCAGCAGCCAGTGGGACGCGGTGTTGTCCAGGAAGGGCACTGGCTCCGGATCCAACCAAATGCCACGTGTGGAGAATGAAATAGAGAAAAAGTGGGCGGAGTTTGAGCGCATGCCGTTGAAAGAGATGAGCGCTCCGCTGCCAATGGGATCACGGCCCTCCGGCCAGTCAGCCAATGAGGCGCTGCAGAGGGAGGTAGTGTGTGGAGAAGATTTTCCTAATTTGCAAACTACGTTCAATGCAAATTAAACTCTTCATCGCTCCAGATGAAGTTAACAGTTTCCCTCTCTCTTCTGACCTGACTGGACTTTTCAGCAGTGTCTACATTTGAATGATTACACATTTATATTGTTTACATGTTGACCCCCAGACCTTATAGAAAACACTGCTGAAAGTCTCGTCTATTCTGACTGTGTGTGTGTGAGTGTGTGTGTGGTTTTGCTGTGTATCTTTGTTTGAAGATCCTGGTACTAAAGCTGGTTTGTTTACTTTGGACATGCAGTTTCAAAGACGACCTTTTGACATTGGAATATAAAAATAGCTCCCAGTCCCATGTTCAGAAAAGTTTGTACACGTTCTAAAAATAATGCACTTAAATTTTTACTTATCAAGATAAAGAAACATTACTGATTTTTACTGACTATGTAAATCAGTATTTCATTTCATTTTTCACAGTGTACCAACTTTTCTTTACACGTTGAACAGAAGACGATAAACTGTCTTCGACTCTCTCTGTGTTGTGCAGTCAGCTTTACTTCGGTCCTTGTCCTTTTTTCAGGTGGCGTCACTGAGGCACCAGCTGGAGGGTCTACAACGGGGGATGAGAGGTTCGGGGGGAGGGTGTGGGGGAGGAGAGGGAGGTACGAGGAACGGCTGTGGCCCTGACGCCACCTGTGGGCGCAGCCTTGCAGCCATGGAACGAGCTCAGCGACATGCGCTAGAGGAGCTGCAGAGGCAGCATGAACGTCAGGTGAAGGAGCTGCAGATGGAGAAGGACAGGCTGCTGCAGGAGGAGACGCAGGACACAGCGAGAGGTCAGTGACGTGGACTGTAGTGATGAGGAGCGTCATAGGGTTTAGATTGTTTTCTAATGGTTTAAGACTTTTTTAACACAACACCTAAAACGTTCTGACGATGTGGTAAAATGTATGTTGTGTTGTTCAGTGATGGAGGCTTTGAGGAAAAAACACAAGGAGGAGCTGGAGAGGGAGGTGGAGAAGGTCAAGAGGTTAAGCAGCGGGGTCGTCGACTCACAGACTTTACAGGTTCAGCAACAGTAAGTACTTTTTATATTCAGAAGAATTTACACGTTTTATGATCTGTAGCAGAACTAACACAAAGTCAGGAGAGGCAGAGAAGTATGTGAGAGTGGTGGTGGTACAAGCATAAGGCCAGACGGTGGTTAGGTGTGCTGTCGGAGTGACAGATCGGCGATGGACATGTTGACAGATGACGTCAGGCAGGAGACAGTGGTGGTGGTACAAGCATAAGGCCAGACGGTGGTTAGGTGTGCTGTCGGAGTGACAGATCGGCGATGGACATGTTGACAGATGACGTCAGGCAGGAGGTTTAATGGAGCGTGCTGTTTGCAGATGACATTGTAAACTGGGAGCAGGTGGAGGGGGAGGTGGAGGTTTGGTCTGGAGCATAGAGGACTGAAGGAAAATTAGGTTAATCTTTTGCTTGTACTCACTAAGTACATGTACTCATTCAAATAATGCTTGTACTGTAATTTCAGAAATAATGTGTATATATTTGCTTGCTTTTATGAATGTACTTAGGAAATAAGTTTTAAAATTAATTCACGTTTTTAGTCAGTTTAATAACCGTGTGGTCCTGAAAATCATTTCATCCACTTTGCTTTAAAAATAATAACCATCCTGTTCCCCGGCCTTCCGTGCAGCCAGACTTTGATCATTTCTCCAGGCAGCTCTCTTGTGCCTTTAAGTGGGAGCTCGTTGACCATAAAAAGGTTTCTCAGTGAAATAAAAGGCCGATTCTGCCGACTGTTCAACATTTGAGATTCCTCATCTGAGCGATGTCATTACCACAACACCCACAGAGTTTTGTTAAGCACTGGAGGAATGTAGAAAAGTTTGGTCATGGATTAGTTTGACTTTCTAAGCTGCACAAGGCCTTTGACACAAGCCTGCATCAGACGCTGCCACTGGACCCTGCACTTTAGGGCTTATGTGTGTCGTCTACTCTGCACTTTTCTCTGTGCCGGCTACAAGCTCGTCCTTATGTTTGTGGTTAATGGTCATGAGCAGAAAAATTGGTTCTGAAACCAGTGGAGGGAGTCGTTCGCTTTTGAAAAGTAAAACAACACACAGTCGTCTTTTTTGTGCCTTTATTGAATGTTCAGATCCGTCTGTAGATCAGTTGTGATTGTTCTCTCTCTCTTCACTCAGGGCTGAATGGCAGTCGTTGCAGCGGGAGTTGTTGGGACTGTCGGAGCGCTACTCTCAGAAGTGTCTGGAACTGAACCGAGCTGAACAGAGCAGCGCGGAGAGAGAGAGGGAGATCAGCCACAAGGAGAGAGACATGGAGCAGCTGAGGAGGGAGAATCAGGTGAGAAGGAGCCAACGGAAGAAAAACATGGAGTTCTGAAGTTAAAGCTCTCTCTCTCTCTTGGCTTTGCTGTTATTTTATAGGTTGTAAAAAGATTTAAAGGGTGTTTGAGTGGTGAAGTCCATAAAGGATAGCTTTCGTTTTGTGAGTCATTCCAGAGGTGTAAAGGTCAACTGTTTGATTGTTGGAATGTGTTTTATATTCAATTCCAGTTCACTGAATGTCTAAACTGATCCTCTAAGGCTGCACTTTCATCTGGAAGTTTGCCTTTTTTATTGCATTACCATAAAAACATTTTTTTAAAGCGTCTTCTTCATTAAAGCAGCCATGTTTGCCCAGTGTGTTTTGATATTAACTCAGACAAACTAACCACTCTCACCATCTAAAGTCTGCTGTTTGTTCTCCTACATGCTTAAACAGGAGCGATGAGGTGAGGAACATTCAACTACCACACTGAACTCCACCGCCTGACGCTGCTAAATCCCACACTCTGTGTTTTTACGACAAATGCCTGATGAATTGTTTTGTGTTGCAGGACTTAAAGACTCGTCTGACGGAGGAGATCGGTCGACTGCAGAGCAGCGTCAAAGCTCAGGGTTCAAAAGACAAGAGAGACAGAACGCTGTGTGAACTAGAGGTAAACCACAGGCAGAGACACAACAAGAATGAAAGAAACGTGTGAGTGTGTGTGTTGTTTTTGTCTCCACTCATTTGTTTCTTCTCTCAGGTTCTTCTCAGGATGAAAAAGAATGAAATAGAGTATTTACACCAAGAAATCAGCTGTCTGAGGAATGAAATGCAGTTTCTAAACACGGTAACGGCCGTAATCAAGTTTTACTAATTAATAGACAGCGATGTGTGTGTGTTTATAACAGCGGCGAATAAGAGTCTGTCTGTCCCCCTTTGTCCTGGAGCAGGAGAAGCAGCAGGCCTGTGAGAAATACAAGGAGGTGCAGGAGGAGCTGAGCGGCATGAAGGGCCGCAGCGAGAGGGAGATCCAGAGTCTGAAGGAGCACCTGAGGCTGGCCATGGCTGCACTGCAGGAGGGACAGCAGCTGAGCAACAGCCTGGAACACTGAGAACTGCTGCAGCCGCTGCTGCTGCTGCTGGTGCCAACGCAGTTGTCGACGGGTGAGAGGTTTTAATGTTTTTATATCTATATGTAGATATATGTATATATGTGTGTCACTTTGGATAAAAGTGTCTGATAAATGTATTGTAATGTAATATAAATAGTATATGTATGTATATATGTATATTTGTGTATGTATATGTGTATATATATATGTATTTATATGTATATATGTTTATATGTGTTGACTCTGTTTGAGTCTGTCATTTAAATACATTTTGTTTGACAGGTGACTAGAACAACCAGTGATGGTGGAGGACAGTCGATGACTGTTGGACTATGTGAGGACTATCATCGTGCCTTAATCAATCAGTAATCAATCATCCTGCCAACCTGCAGCGTAGAGCAGCTGTTTGTTGGTTTCGTTACACTGGGCTCCACATCGTCGTCATCATGTATAAATAAAAAGAAAAAAAAACTGCACTTTTTTTTTTAATCCTAGCTTTTGTATGTCGAGGCTTGTTTGAGTGAGAATTTTTGTCAGAAAACTGGAACTCTTATATTTTTACCACTTGTTGTAAATACAGATTTCATGCTGCGTCAGCTTTTTTTTGTGGGACAAACGTCTTATTGCCACTGTCTGAGTGAACACAGTCACAGGAGACAGGCTGCTGTCGTCACACTTTCCTGTTGTACAGTTTCTGGTTTGTGTTTCTTAGGAAACAGGAGCTGTCCATGTGGTGATGCTGAGGAACGTTAGAGAAACATCTATTGGGGTCAACTATTCATGTGCGTGTGTGTGTATGAGAGATGGGGGGGGGGCTGCTGTCATAAGCTGATGAACAGATGCTGTCAAACATCAGTTACTCTATTATTATTATTTTTTAAAACATTGGCTGAGAAGAAACATCTATGGAGCTTCCAGTTTCCCCCCCTCTGGAAATGGCATGTAGTGAATGTGCCACACCCACAACCCATGACAGGCATTGCATTGATGAGCCAATTTTTATTATTGACAGTATGTATTGTGATAAAAATGACTTGTCTACCTACTTTTTAAAATAACTTTTTTTCATATTTAATGTACTGAAGAGTTTGTATTGTCTTTGTAAATTATATGCATTTTTTGCAATCAATTAAAAAAAAGTTATACAAAAACCTGCCGGACATTTGTGGTCTGTTTATTTGATTTCAGTGCAAACATAAACAGGATTTATTCTTTTTAATATATTTGACTTCCCTTGTATAAAGAACGTCTTAACATTTACAGCAATAAATGTTACAGAAACATTAAAAAGGAGCAATAACTTCATAAAAATGTCGAATTCACAATACCCTATCCCTGTATTCAGACATAACGTATCCTTCATAAAAATGTCGAATTCCTATCCCTGTATTCAGACATAACGTATAATACTGCCGTACAGTAGAGGGCAGCATTGTTCAAACTAACGTCCGGCCTGCGGGACAGTGTTGGTTATAGAAGAAGAAAAGGAGGCGGTTCTACAGTGGCAGCAGCCATGGCGTCCGCAGCAGGTTCCAGAGCAGTGGCCGCTGCTAAAGTCGTTAAACCTATCATTAGCCATGAAATGGGTGAAGCGAAGAGCAGGGTCCGGGAGCTTTACCGAGCCTGGTACCGAGAGGTTCCGAACACAGGTGTGTGTGAGCTCCGGTCGCAGTGTTGAAAACCGTAAAAACAAAAAGTCAAGGTCGCGTCTTCTTAGCATTAGCTGCTAACTAACGGACGTGTAAACATTTAGATTAATAAACAGTTTCGAGATTGTAACTAGGGTTAAAAGGGGAACCTGTAATACGTTTGTTGACTTTTTAACGTATCTGAATGTAAATCATTGTAGAGTTGATATTTTTTAAATGTTTAAACGAATCCCATATTCTGACGTGTGTATTCATAGCTCTGTTCAAGTCAGTGGTTTTAGTAGTTGGCTGTAACTAATTATTGGAGATGAATAAAAAGGTATGAATAAAACAAAACATTTGTCGAAAACGTTGAAAAACCTCACTTACTGGTGTTTATGGTTCAGAACCGTCCGAAGTCTGTCCAGACTTTGACAGAACCAAACATTTTCTATAACAATAGCTATTGCTTTATCGACCAGTTTGAATAGAAAGAAACGGTGACATAACATGCAACAAAGGTCATATAAACAACTATCACTGATCAGATAAGGCATTTGGAGTTTGAGGATTTTTACTGATGATTCAGTAACTAGTTTTACAATGATAAAATATTGCAATAGATGGAGCAAAATAAATAAACACAATATATATTCTTCTGTTTTTGAGAATGAACTTCTGGTTATTTTTAAAATTTTAAATAAAAGTAGAGAAAAATTAAATAAAGCTGAAAAAATGATATAGTAAATGTGTACACCAACAATGAAAAAATGTGTCCTGCACTTTTGTTGTGGAATGGTGACATTTTTTCCCTCGTGTTTTTCTTTAGTTTTGCTGTACCGGCTGGATATAAGCGTATCTCAGGGCCGAGAAAAACTGAGGGAGCTGTTCTACAAAAACAAGCATCTGACTGACATCCGTGTGATTGACATGCTGGTCATTAAGGTACAGACGGTAAAACAGCATTGGCTGCCTACATCAGCTCTATTGGTGACTGAAACATCCTTGTGTGTTTGTGTGTGTTGTTGTATTTTCAGGGTAGAATGGAACTGGAGGAAACGATCAAGGGCTGGAAACAGAATACTCACATTATGCGTTATTTTAACGAATCCGTGCAACCTCGTCCCACAGACTTCCTGTCCAAATTCTACAGCGGTCATGACCCATGAACTTTGCGGCTCCTTTTTCGTTATGTCCAGTTTAACAGATGTTTCCCTCTGCTGTAAATACACACCTAACACTCACACGTTTAAAGTTGTGTCTGGTTATTTACTGTAACATTACAGTTTTTGACAAAGATGATTCTTCTTTAAACAGAATTTTCTGTTGAACTGTACCTTTAAGCATATTTTTAAGCATATATATTTCTTGTTACATGTCGATGAATGACCTCAACATTTGATCTGTATGAAGGACCGCGGGAGTGTGTTTAACATGAAGGTCACGGAGCTTGTGCTACATTTTTACCAAACCAAATCCACTTTATTAGGCGTTAAGAAGTGCATGCACATACAGTACTCTGTGATCACTTTGGAACAGCTGATCTGAGCGTGAACGACAGCAAAAACCCTGAATGCAGTACAGACGTAGGCAACTCCACAACTACACACAGCAGGCGTTTTTTTTTATCTGCGCCGAAGACTCGCGCTCCTCCCTGTGGGAGTCACAAAAACATCTGCAAAAGAAATGAAAAAAAAAAAGTAAACAAATGACAACTGTATAAAACAATTCTACACAGATGCCGACAGGTAAAGGATTTTGCTTTATTTTTAAATGGACAGTTTGTTCTTTGCACCTCGACTTTTTAACTTGGCATTTTGTGACCTGATGATTCACTGTGTTTTGTCTTTCTCTGATCAGTGAAGACTTTGAGGGTCTAAGGTAGTGGACGTCCTGATCAATAACCAGGGTCTGAGAAAAATGCTGTTGAATTTTAATGGCAAATTTTACCAGAGGAGATTTAGACATTTCAGCACCACTAAAAAAACAATTTTTAAAAAAATTATTATTATCATCAGGAATCGACCCCGTGCTGTTGAATTTTAACGGCAAATTTTACCAGAGGAGATTCAGACATTTCAGCACCACTAAAAAAAAACCAATTTTTTAAAAATTATTATTATTATCATCAGGAATCGACCCCGTGACCTTTCCTGCTGTAGGCCGATGATGCTTCCCACTGCTGCTACCTGTACAGGTGTGTGTGTGTGTGTGTGTGTTTGCACCTGGACCACATTTACCAGCAGCAGCCCAGAGTCCAGGCCGGTGATACCTGTGAGCCGGAGGCCGCCCCGCCCTCAGTCATCGTCGTCGTCGTCCTCCGGGACAAAGATGTCGTGCTCCTCCAGCAGCGCAGCAAAGTTCTTGCTGATCCGAGTCCCCACATATAAGAAGGGCACCACTACCACAGCAATCCGGATTAGGCCGAAGGTGGTCTGCTCCCCACGGTGTGACGCAGACACACACACACACACGCGGCATCGGGCCACCATAGAGACAAGTCGGTTAGTTCATGGAAGCAGCGTGTCCTGTGTCTGATCCCTGCTGTCATGTCAACTGACTCCTCACAACAACCACTCACCTTCTTGGGTTTGGGCAGAACAGCACCGGACGATGTGGTCACGACGGAGCGGTGCGGTGTCACCGTCCTCCGCGCTCCCCCTGCGCCGGTACTCGGCACTGTTTCCCGGCCGTTCCTGAGAACCGACATCCTGAACAGACGACCGAGGGATGACGCCATGTTCCCAGTTCACAAAACGTTCGTGCGGCAGCAATGCGGAAAACGTCTGGAGGTAATTTTTTTAAGGATTTTTACCTGTGAGCAACAGCGTCATCGTGCGTTAAGAAAACGCATTACGATAAACGACAGGCAAAACACGACCAGAACCGTATCGATGATAACGTGTGAACTTTTTAAAAAAAGTTATATATATATATATTTTTATAAAATTTTAATTCTAATTAAATAAAAATCTAAGTTCACATCACTGTCCCGTTTACCAAAACAAAGAACATTTAAATTGAACTTGACGATCGTCACGGTGGATATTGTTATGTTTGTGGTCTGGACTCAGTTCAATAGTTTTTAGTCTGAATTAGAAAAAAAAGATTGAAATGATTTAGAAAAAACAAAAACACAAAGGCTCCGCGTGATTTTCATGATTTCTTTACAACGTTTCAGTTAGCATCGTCCATTAAAATGTCTAAATTCTTAGCATTCACGTTTTCGGAGGGAAACAAAAGCAGTGGTTTATGAAAAAAAATACTAAATCAAATACAACAAATGAATAAATACTGTACATCGTCAAATATTTACAGGCTCCTTATACGGCACGTCACTAAATTAAAATGACTGTGGGACAGTTGGGCGAAAGAGAGCGGTTTCCATGACAGCTACGTTGCTATGACAACTACAGCAGTGAAATAAAAACTGCTGTAAAGAAACCTGGAAATGAATAGTAAACATGCGTTGATCCCAGCAGCAGTTCCAACAGTCGTACCAACACTGTGAAGTGGTTTTTGTGACACTGATTATTCTGTGTCAACACAGATGAATGTTCTTCCCTCGTCAAGTCTACAGGATTATTGACAATCAAGTCTGTTTGCAATCATCTGTAAGTTAAATAATTATTAAATAAGATCTCAGTGTACAAACAGTCTCAACCAAAAC